CCCACCCCACACCCGATTCCCATCCCCACCCCACGGCCCACTACCCCCACCGGCGAATGCCCACCCCATGCAAACCCGCTCCAAGGCCGGTGTTTTCTGCCCAAAACAAATCTTGGACCTCCACACCACTACATCCATCTCCCCCGGCCCGATGGGTGGTCCGCGGGTGAGTTATCCAAGTATAAGGCCCGATGGGTGGTCCGCGGCTTCAATCAGCGTTTTGGCGTCGACTACAGCGAAACCTTTAGCCCCGTCATTAAGCCTGCCACTGTCCGAATCGTCCTTAGCCACGCGTTGTCTCGAGGGTGGCCTATCCATCAGCTAGATGTCAAAAATTCCTTCCTCCATGGACAGCTTCAGGAAACCGTGTATGCCAGCCAGCCCTCAGGGTTTCAGGATGCCGATCGACCCCACCATGTTTGCCGGCTCAAGAAAGCTCTTTATGGCCTGAAACAGGCACCCCGGTCATGGTTTCATAGATTTGCAGGTTTCATTCAGACCATTGGATTTCGCGGGTGCAAATCTGATACATCTCTTTTCATCTTCACGCATGCATCGGGGACCGCCTACCTCCCGTTATATGTTGATGACATCGTGCTCACTGCCTCTTCCCCAGCACTCATTCAGAGACTCATTCAGAAACTCAAGGCTGAGTTTGCTATGACAGACATGGGTGATCTGCATTTTTTCCTTAGCATCAATGTCCATCGCACAACCATGGCCTCTTCCTTCATCAGACACAGTTCACCCACGACATCCTTGAGCGGGCAGGGATGGTCTCGTGTCGCCCTATATCCACTCCAGTAGACACAAAAGCAAAGCTCTCTTCCTCCTCCGGCACGGCACTTCCAGATCCTTCTCTCTACAGGTCCATAGTTGGTCCTTTGCAGTATCTCACATTCACTCGACTTGATATCACTTATGCCGTCCAGCAGCTCTGCCTCCACCTTCATGCGCCTCGCGACACTCATCTCACAGCCATGAAGCGAGTTCTACGTTATCTTAGTGGCACCGCCACTCACGGAATCTATCTGACCCGCTCCATGACAGACTATCTCCAGGCTTATTTTAATGCTGATTGGGCTGGATGTCCTGACACCAGACGTTCTACTTCCGGGTACTGTGTTTTTCTGGGCGATAACCTGATTTTTTGGTCATCTAAGCGCCAGGCCACCACGTCACGGTCCAGTGTAGAAGCAGAGTATCGAGCTGTGGCTAATGCAGTTGCGGAGACATCCTAGATTCGGAATCTTCTACTTGAGCTCCAGCACGCGCCACTCTCGTCTTCTGTGACAATGTCAGCGCCGTCTACCTCTCATCAAATCTGGTTCAGCACCAACGCACTAAGCACGTTGAGGTCGACATTCACTTCGTGCGTGATAAAGTCGCACTCGGACACATAAGAGTACTTCACGTGCCTTCTTCATCTCAGTATGCTGACATCTTCACCAAAGGACTGCCCTCACTGCTCTTCCTCGAGTTCAAGTCCAGTCTGGGCATCAGACCACCTCCACACCCAACGTAGCCGGGAGCATGTTAAATATATATTCTTTATTTAATGTAAATATATTGTTTCCTATTATTTTCTCCTACCTTGTATAGGATTAGGAATCTCTTGTTTATAAACACATGTACTCCCACATATTCAATCAAGGAAATTAATCTTTCTACAGGTACCATGGTACCGTAACAGGTACTGTGTCAGACCCCAGCCGCTCTTTTTCTTGTTTTTTTATCCCGATTTGAATCCCGGAATGATTCTGATGTCTTGTGTGTTGCATGACGGTAATTGGAAGGCATTTACACCCGACACTAGACCGCTATTTGTATAATACGATAATTATTCGATTGTTATATTCCTCTTATCATATAATCTTGGTATGTCTTGGGTCACACGGGTCGCGGGGTTACAGGTTGAGAGAGAAAGAAAGGGCGATCGTATGAGAGTTTAGGTTCGGCGTGCGTATGTGTGCGTAAATCACATGTATGGTGAGCATATATGTGTAGGATTTCGTGCTCTATAAAAAATATTACAAATTGTGCGAAAGAAAGAAAAATTCTAAGTGTGTTCAATTCAATTAATTTAAAGATTGGTATGAATCAAAAAACAAAAATTAAATATTTAGAAATTATATCAAAAGTTTTACAAAACAAGAGGTGACAAAAATATTTTATTTTATTTTATGAAATAGTACACAATGTAATCAATTATGGGACAAAGATATTTTATAAATACTCAACCAAAAAAATCAAATAAATTCTCTCTTTTTTATTTATCCTAAATTGAACGTAACACTCTAAGTCCAAACTAAACTTCTCGCATTTCTTTAACTAATGAATTCAATAAGATGCATAACTTGTTTATGTACATGAATTTCAAGTAACAATTTTAATTTTTACTCAACTCCTGTGTCAAAATTTTAAAAAAATACAGTGCATGAATGAAATAATAAAGATATAAGAGCATTTGCAATGGGGGTTGAAATCCACCACACCGCGAAGCCATTGCAAAATGACTAATGGAAAAGCAGTCGCAGAACTTGCAGCTGAAGTGCCGCCCCATCGGTCGTGAAACACGGTGGATCTACATGGGCAGCCATCCATTGCAACGGGCTGCCGCGTCGGTTCGATTTTATTTTTAAAAAAAAATTCAATCTATAAATTTAACAAATCGTCCACTTCAATTCATCCACTCTCACATTTAGTTCATTCTTTTTCTAAATTTCTCTTCATCTTTCTCATTTCACTCGAAAAAAATGACTCTTCCTCCAACAAATGATGAGGTTGTGGATATGTTAATTACGGCGGTCAGTGTACCATGAGCATTTGCCTTACATCTAAGCGGAGATGTAAAATGAAATTGCTCGACATGTTGCGACAATTACCGCTCCCATTCCACGTAGATGGTTATACATTTGTCGGGATCTTGAGCAGGCTGATTCATGTTTATTTGAAGTTTATTTTTCAAATGTTTTATATTTTTTTGATGACCAGTTCCGTCAGTGCTTTCGAATGCGTCGTGTATTATATGCTTGGATTGCGGATATACTCGCTGGTCGTGATGTGTATTTCCAATAGTGGCCAGATGGTGTTTGACTAGAGGGCCTATCAAGCCTACAGAAGTGCACAATCACGATTCAACAGCTCGCATACGGAACTTGCGCTGACATGTTCGACAAGTACCTTTATATCGGGAACTCTGCAGGTCAAGACTGTTTGCAGCATTTTTCCGAGATGTAATTGAGGCTTTCAAGGACACGTACTTTCAAAAGCTGGTTGTCTAAGACGTTTTGATCTTAGTTCATATGCATGAGCATGGGGTTCCAGGGATGATTGGTAGCCTAAATTGTACGGTGGAGTGGAAAAATTATCCAATGGCATGGAGGTGTGCATCCAAAAGCGGTTACAAGGACTCACACACGAAGATCATGCTCGAGGTTGTTGCCGACCATCGTCTATGGATCTGGCTTGCATACTTCGGAGTAGCCAGATCGAACAATGATCTGAACATGATCAATGGGTCCCCTTTATTAAAGGATGTGTGCGCTGGACGTGCGCAAGTTGTGCTATTCACCGCCAATGGCCGCCAATACAGAATGAGATATTATTTGGCGGATGTGATCTATCCACAATGACCAGTATTTGTGAAAACAATCACGTTTGCGACAAATCCAAAGACAATATTGTTCTTGTAGAAACAAGAGTCGGTACAGAAAGATGTGAAACGTGCCTTCAGAGTCCTCCAAGCACAGTGGTAGATAGTGAAAGACCCCGCACGCCCGTGGTACCGATCATTCATTTCGGGCATCATTTTGCATAAAAAAATAATGATCACATGATAGTTGAAGACGAGGGAACCAACATCACTCGTTTTTACAGATGAGGGGGCCGCATCCGTCGTCCGTGGTCCAGCGGCTACAGGGCCACCTCTCGATTTACAAGATTTTGCAAATCGACGTGCAAGTATACACGATGAATGAAGCCATGCTACCCTCCTGCATGATTTGATCGAAGAAATTTTGAACCACAACAATACTTAATTCTAAAATTAATTACTCCCTCTGTCTCATTTCTTTCTTTACAAAACACTATTCGAATTTACGAAAACCTTTATTTATTAATGTTTTTTCATGAAAAATATGATAAAATAAAATATTTTTGCCATTATTTGTTTTGTTAAATTTTGATATAGTTTTTAAATATGTAAGTTTTAATTTTTTATTTTTATACTAATATTTAAATAAATAGATTGAAAAACTTAAGATATTTCTTCATTTCGCACAATATAAAGAAGCTATGAGACGGATGGAGTATCAATTTTTTTAATTTTAATTTTATTTTGGTGTATTTCATATTTTATTTTGAGCTTATTTTAAAAAAGATTGTCAATCTTAGAGCCTGTTCTTTAGGGCTTAAACTCTTAACTTCTAATTCTTTCCAGTTTCTTCCAAGTATTCTCGTTTTCTTTATACTCTTTCTACTCCCCAACCAATTACTCTAAAAAGGATATGTTTTTAATGTGATTATTGTTGTTGTTATTATTATTATTATTATTATTATTATTATTATTATTATTATTATTATTATTATTATTATTATTATTACACTTGTTATGTTCATAACTATAGTTTATAAATTATTTTTTTCATCTCAACATTTTTACGATTCACACTCATTATTTTTTTCTTCAACTTTTTAATATAAATAAGACAATTTTTTGTGTTTTAATCTACATGATAAAATATTAAAACATCATTGTTTTAAACTCTATTTAAAAAAATTATTAATAAAATAGTTACATAAAATGTTTTATTAATCTAACTTTATATATAAGATCCCTCACTTTTACTTTTATTATTCATTTTTTTCTCATTTTTCTAATTTTAAAAAAAATTGAAAGTCAAAATAATTTAGAGAAAAATAATAAAATAGGATTAAAACATAAAAACTATGAAAAAATGTTTTATGTCTTTATTTCAAAAATAGGAGTTACAATTAAAATGAAATGTCAATCATGAAAGAAAAAAAATATGTTTAATTATATTATGTAATAGGTTTAATATTTTTAAAAAAATCTTGTACCATATGAAGTATAATTACAAATATATTATTTATAACAAATACTGTATAAATAAATTGAGATGCAATGTAACATTAATAACTTTTTAAAATTTAACATATTGATATATATGTGTGTGTGTGTGCTTACTTTATACTCCCTCCGACTCGTTTTAAATTGTTTGTTTGAATTTTTGGGCATACTTAGGGAAAAATAAAAAAATAGAGTTGATTTTCCGAAATTGCCATTATTTTTAAAGAGAGATGACGATGAATGAGAAGATAAGGTGGAGAAGGGTGACTTATTTTAGGAGTAGTTTAGGTATTTTACTCATAAAAGTTTACGATAACAAGTAACGGACAACTTATTTTAGAACGGAAATGAAAGACAAACATGCAATTTAAAATGGAACAGAGGAAGTATTATAACTATTTTTCTACAAAGGTAGTTTTTTTGTGTATGAAAAATAACAATAATTTTTCTTCTTAAAAGCATTAATTAGGATAACGTGATGATGATAATGATGATAATAATAATAATTTATAATAACAAAAATTAGAATGAAAATAATATAAAAATACAAAATAAATTTTTTCAAATTTTTTTTAAATTTTTTAATTTTTTAAAGTTTTTTCAATTTATTCCAATTCCTTCCAATTTTCTTCTAACATTTAACTCTTTTTATCAGTTTTAAAGAAAATGCTCTTACTATTTTTTTTAATTAAAAAAATATATATTTTATTTTTTATAAAACTTCGAATTAAAAATGATGAATAAGGTAAACAAATGGAGTTGGGGCGGGGCGAGAAATTCTCCCATGTAAATGGTCCAATAACACAAACATTCTAAACAAACGATAGGAATGAACGAAACAAAGGAATTAAATAGTGTTACTTTAGGACAAACCACAAGACTCCACAAACTATCAACTCCCCCTGCCTTACAACATTATATTCAGTACAGTACCCCACCCCACACCCTGCGTATGGTAATTGGTAAACCCTAACCCACAGTCAGACAAAAAAAAGCCTATCCGAGCTCAAGTTCGAAGTGACACAAAGTAACCCCTGCCCTACAACCCTAGGGCAGACCTAGTTTTAGTAGGTCACCTACCCTAGCAGCTGGAGTTTTAATTTCAAATAATGATTACACATAATAAAGTGGGTGGGTGGGGGGGATCTTTTCCCGCAGTCCGAAAATCTTTTTGATAGTTTGACGAATGTCAACCATGCAAAGATCGAAAAGAGACCGCTTTCTCGCTCAATCATTGTCCCCGCGACCGCCGCCGTCATTTCCGCCGGCGCCGCCGTATTTTGTCGCCGCCGCCCCGTCGTCATCATTGCTGCTGCTGCCGCTTCCCTCGGTCGTCCCATCATCATCATCTTCTAAGGCGATGCTTTCCAGACCGAGGAGCAGTGTGGGTTCCACTCCGCAGCCGAAGATCGGCGCCGGGAGAGTCAGCGTCCGGCCGTCGCGCGGCGGCGAGAACACCACCGGCATGTACTCCTCCGCTTCGCTCGGGAACCTCGAGTTCTTGAAGTGCTCTTTCAATGCTTCTATTCCCTTTTCATTTTTTCAAAAATACATACAATCATTTTTTTTAGTGGGGTATAAATCAAATTACTCTGTAATGATTTAAATATTAAAAAATATTAGGAAATTCGAAATTTCCTTTAAAAAAAATGGCCAAAGTAATCCATATCCATATTGAATAGAAGTGGAAAACCTTAGACTATTATGGAGTAAGGGTGGACACGGTACAGGTACGGTACCGTGACCGGAAACAGTACCGCCGGTACCGGTACCGTTACCGTCGGCCGGGACGGTCCACCGGTTCCGGGAACCGGTACCGGTACCGCCCACTCCGGTACCGGTTCCGGTGCCCATTTTTCGGTACCGGCACCGGCGGTACCGGTTCCGGTACCGTAATTAATTTTTTTTTATTTTTATTTTTTATTTCATTCTTTCCTTTATTAATTTAATTTTTAGAGTTTTTTATTTCATCCTTTCTTTTAACAATTACACATTTACAATTCTACATTTTAAAAATTTAATAAAAAAACAAAAAAAAAAGAAGAAATTATGGGTGGCCGAAACGGTACCGGTACCGGGACCGCCGGTACCGGCCGATCCGGTACCGGTACCGGTACCAAGGGGTGGCGGTACCGGAACCGGCGGGGTTCCGAAACCGGAACCGTCCCGGAACCGTACCGTGTCCACCCCTATTACGGAGCATTAAAGCCTTAGCGTTGGAGTTTTCAAAGTAATATGCACCGTTAAAATTTTATTCAAAACGCTAACGCTAATTTTTAATGTTTTTGAAATAATATGCATCGTTAAAATTTTATCCAAAACGCTAACGTTAAACTCTCCCGTAAATAACCTTTTGAAAATGATAACGTTACATAATGATAGAGTACAAAAAATATAATTTCCACAAGTTTATTTGACAGGAACAAAATGGACACACAACACAAGTTTTTTCCAAGTGAATTTCAACTTTTCCTCCATTTCTTTCCTATTTCCTTTCTTTCCTCCTACCCAAAAATGAAAATTTATCAATTTCTTTTCAACTTCCCCCCCCCCCCCCTACGGCCCTACCTCCTCACTTCCCTCCCACTTTCCTTCAACCAATTCAAACATACAATAAAGATTTAGGGGCTGTTTGACAACTTCTGAATGGGTAAGTGCTGAACCAGTAAGAGGTCTGAATCATTAAGTGCTGAACCAGTAAGAGGTCTGAACCATTAAGAGCTAGTATATTGCTTAACTATTCAGAGGCAAATGTCTGATCAATTCAGATAACACCTCTTAACCATTCAAACTCTGTATAATACTTAATCATTCAAAGGCAAATCTCTTAACCATTCAGACATCTGAACCATTAAGAGGCTGAAACAAACAGTCTGAACCATTAAGTGCTGAATCATTCAGACATCTGAACCATTAAGAGGCTGAAACAAACAGCCCCTTACTCTAGAGTAAATTGTATGTTTGGTTGAAGGAATAAACTTTTTCATCTCTAATTTAGAGACGGAATTTTCCATCTCTAAAAATAGAGACAGCGTATTTGGTGGCAGATGAGTTTGCGCCTCTAGGTTGCCGCTAAATCTATATTAGCGGCGGATTTTAGAAGATTAGAGGGGACTCTCCCCCCCTCCTCTTTTTGCAATTATTTGAAAAATGTTAGGGAAACACCAAAGGTGTACCCCATTTGTCCCCCACCCCATCCTCCACCACATAAATGGGCAAGTATTTTAAAAAAAATTAATAAATAAAAAGATGATAAAAATAGGTAGTGGAGAAGGGGGTGGGGGACAAATGGGGTGTACCCCTAGCATTGCTCCAATTATTTTTGTAGTGTATGTCGTCTCAAAATGAATACTCCCTCCGTTCTAAAATTAATTTCTTAGTTTGACTTTTGCAGTCAAATTTTTTAAACTTTGATCGTAGATTAAAGAAAAAAAATTGAATTTTCATATAAATTTATTTATTAGCAATAAATTCATTTTGGAATATAGTTTTGAAATATATAATTTTTATAAAATATATTTATATATAAATTAAGATATTGAGCATTGAAAACCGTGGAAAGTGAAATGAGAAGTTAATTTTAGGACGGAGGGAGTATTATCGTTACTAACATTCTTTGAATAACTTTTATTCATTTACATATTTTGATTGATAATATAATAACATAAAATTTTCTCGTCACTTATTATTTTATACTTCTTTCGTCCCTAAATAAATTACACTTTACACAAAATGAAATAAATTTTTTTATGTTTTCAAATCATTTTAATTAATTATTAGTATATAAATAAAAATAAAACTTTTGTTTACAAAAAGTACATTAACAAATTTATAAAACAAGAAATGATAATAATATTTAATCTTAACAAATATTAAAAAAACAAACAAACAAATAAAAATTCTGATGATTTTTGAATAATTTATTATAGGACAAAGAGTAAAATCTTGAACCTTCTTTTAAATAATGTAATTTATACTTTTTATTCTTATAAAAATTGTAATATCAAATATCTATATATACTACCAAAAAACACTATGAAATATCAACATAAAATATGAAGTTTCCAAGGATGGATTAAAAATCTAAAACTTTTATTGATGTACTTTTTACTATGTTTTATTTCTAAAATGATAAATTTCTTATAGTAAAAGACCAAAAATACTAAGTCAGATTTTAGTTTAAAAAGAGCTGCGACAGAATATGTTTTAGTGAACCAAGGCGGGAGGGTTTGAGAATCGATCCTAAAGTTGAGAATCAAAACTTGGAGCTGACATGACTATATTATTTTAACAAATACTGCGTAAGTGATGTAAATAGACTAACAAAGTAAATAAAGTTTAACTTTATGAATAATAATCAAGAAATTTATTTGTGGACGGAGTGTATATATGTGTGTGTGTAAATGTATGTATGTATATATTACTTTATGTATGTATGTATGTATTTATGTATGTATGTATGTATTTATGTATGTATGTATGTATGTATGTATGTATGTATGTATGTATGTATGTATGTATATATATATATATATATATATATATATAGAGACACACACAGCTGGTCAACATCGTCTGTGGCACAATAAAAATGATGGATCCTATGTGTATAATTATTTGCGTCTATGATTTTTAAGCTCAAACAATATGCAGTCGTCTCCGATCCGATCCGTATATTAGTGTTGATACTGTTGCGCTTGTCGTTATGTTGCACTCCGTACGTTTATGCAGCATTTGATTTGAGAACACGGCACAGTTCTTTTATGAAACAATCTTAGAAATTTCTAGGTGTGTTTCTGCACTTAAAACTCGTCAAAATTGTTAATTTAAAAGTGACCTGACATGGTTTTTGATGGATACCCAGGAATGGGGGTATCCGGCCCAACAGGAAAACGGCCCAGCCCAACCACGCTAAGGCCACTTAGTTGGACCAAAGAGAATAATCTGAAGACCTAGGAAGGCCACCTCGGCGCCGGTTCACACACGGCCTCGGCAGGGTCGGTCATCCTCGAACCGTCCTCGGCCGACCTTCCATCAAGGGATTTCCGAAGACAGGGCACACACTCGGCCTCGGCCCGGGGCGCCAGCAGACCAGGTCCAGACAAGGGAGTTGTCTAAGTAGTCGAGATCAAGGGGCCCACTATTGGACCCTGCCATACCTCAGGCAAAGTTGTTCTAGCCACTCTATTTGTAACCTATTTTGTATAGCAATCCTAGGGATAATGATGCGATTGGACGCTGCCAGTGAACAACTCAATCTTCGTGGGACCAGGCCGTTGGACTCCAGACCAACAGTCGGGAACCCTATTTTGTAATTCGCATATAAACCCTTTCCAACGGAAGGAAGACTTACGTTCTAACAAGCACAATAACATCCATATTTTACTTGACCCCAAACTTGTGCACTCTCGACTCGGTTCGATACTCTTCCGCCTAGTCACCTAGGCCTCCGGGTTCCTTAACCCAACAGTTTTTATATGTTTATAAGCTATCTTATAAGCTGTTTATAAGCGAAAAAACTAAGGGGGTGCCACTCTAGCCCTCTAGGCAAGTACTTATTAGTTTATTGTTAATACTTAGTTTTTAATTTATAAGCTATTTATAATTCAAATATGTTCAATAAAAATAAAATGACTTAAATGATAGATAAACCATTTGTAAATAATCAAAAATGGTGAGACAATTTTGTAAATAATCTGGTCAAAATAGAAAAACAAAAAACTAGCTTATAAATAAGTAGCGAAGACTTACTTATTTTTTCTGGCTTATAAACAATTTATAAACCAATTTTAAGCACAAAGAAATATGTCAATCAACTGACTTATAGTTAAAATTACTTATAATCAGTTTTGACAAGCTTATAAGCACCGATAACCACCACTAAATAGATCTTAACCAATTATTTTTAGATCAATTGTTTTCTCTATTTTGACCAGAATATTTACAAAATTGTTGTCTTCCACCATTTAAGAGTATTTTTTACCATTGAAGTCATTTTACTTTCACAAAAAATGGAGGGAATACAACTTTATATTTATATGGTACATTTAATTGCTTTGTTAAGGAGAAAAAAGGTGGGTGAATATATATGTATGTAGATAGAAAGATAGATGGAAACCTGGATTCTTGCATAAGTGACTTGGCATATTTTTCTGGAGTTGAAAGAGTCCCAAGTTTGCAAGTGGAAAGCCTTGTGGAGTCTCCTCGCTGCTTCCGGGGATGTCATGTTCACAAATCCGTATCCCACATTGCACTTGTTTCTGCTCTTTCCATTTCACTTGTAAGCCCATTTTTTCAAATTGAAAAACCACTTTTGACAAGAAATAATTTTTGCTATTTAAAATTTAATTAGTTCATGAAGTTTTATTACTTTAATCTTACAAAATGTGTATTAAAAAATGTAAAAAAAATAAAGGTTTGAAACCCCGCTCTGTAATCTCGGGATTTCAAACTCATTTTCAGTAAAACTATGAAGTAAGTTAAAACTGAAGTGAGAGAGAAAGAAATTTTGAAATCTTGATTTGAAGTCCCCTAGCTTCACGACCAGTGATCTAAGCACAAATTATGAAAATTGCTCCGACTCACAAGACAATCTTACTTTTACTTTTCACTGTTTCCATAAAATGTTTTCACTTTTCATTTATAAAAAAGTTTATTTTACTACTCCCTCCGTCCTAAAACATTCTTCCCAGAGGACTATTCCAACTTCACAGGAATTTATATTTATTTGTGTTTTTTCATAACCTATATGATAAAATAAAATATTCTTGTCACCACTTGTTTTGTTGAACTTTTGATGTAGTTTTTAAATATGTATGTTTTATTTTTTATTTCTATACCAATATTTAAATAAAATAGATTGAAAAAACTTGAGATTTTTCTTCGTTTTGCGCAACGGGAAGAAAGTTTTAGGACGGAGGCTCTATCACATAATATCTATGTATTATATTAATCTAATAATCACATTCAAAAATTACTTTTTTAAATATGAATGTTTTTTTATTATTTCTATACTAATACTTAAAGAAAAATAAGTTAAAAAACTTGAAATTTGACGAGAAGAGAGGGAGTGAGAAGTGCATACATGAAGTCAATTGGCAGGTAGACGAAATCATAGGAGGAAAAGGGGCGGTGGAGGCTGCTGCCGTCATCGTCGGCGCCGCCGCCGGCGGAGGAAATCTGATCGTTACAGCTAATGCAGTGGTTGTCCAGCATGCTCAGCAGTAGCTTCTGACTGCACCAAAAATCCCATCCCCCACCCCATATTTAATTAAATTCCACTATTAAAATTCTCCCATCCCCCCAAAAAAAAATACTTATAGTACTCCTAAACTCAAAAAACTCTATTCCAAAAACTTGTCTACCCTACACTCTTTGGTTCGACCCAAACCCGAGCCGATTTATCTCCAGACCACCTCAATCCCCAATCCCACCCCTAATTGGGTTAATATTCCGAACAAATCTTTCACCAGATTAAACCTAATTGGGGTGGAATTCGTGGACAATAGAGTTTAAAGGGGTAAAAAATGCTTAAATTAACGTGGGTGTGTGTCAAAATAACCGGGCCGTTATACTCCTTCAGTCCCAAATTAACCCTCCTTATTTTTCTTTTTACCTTCCAAATTCATTCATTTTCTTCTCTCAAAAAACTTTTTGTTGCTCACCACATCGTTTTAATTTTCTTAAAGTTTGTCCCAGTGTATTTTATCGAGTTTGACTTTTTCAAGTAAAACTCGACAAACTTTGAGTTTCTATTAAATAAAAATCGTAATGTATTTTAACATAAAAATAACTTTAGGTAGTGTTTGGCAACTAGCATTTCATTTCAATTCATGCATTTCAATTCCAAAATTTGAAATCTTGAATTTCAAATGACAAGGGGAGGTACATGGATTTCAAATTAAGCTTTGTTATGAATGAGAAAAATTTGACTCAAATCCAAATTCAAAATTTTTAAGTTTCCCAAACATGGAATTTGAGCCAAATCCGAATTTGAAATCCAAATCCATGTTCCCAAACATACCATTATTGGATTTATCGTATTGAGAACTTTCAAAATTATATTTCATTATGCTAATATGCAATATAAATTGAGAGTAATTTATATGAAACTAAAACCTGTATTTGTTTGGTATGTTCTTTATCATCACAGTGGTTCTCAGGTCTCTACAATCTGAACCATTATCAATCTCATCCTCATTCATCATCACAAAACGAGGATCATAACCATCCACGTTGTTGTTGTTGTTGTTGTTATTACCCTCATTCCACCACCTCCATTCTCTCCCGCCCTTCCCCTTCGGTTTCCCCGAACAACCCCCGCCTCCGCCACCGCCGCCCTTTTTCCAGCTCCTCTTGCCACCGCCGGAGCTACTGTTTTTCCTGGAGCTGGAGCTGGGGGAATGGTCTTGAACCCGCGGGAGCACGGCGGTGGTGGGAGAGGGGGGAGAAGATTTCGGCCGGGGGAATCTGCGGGAGTTTAGGCCGCCGGGACGGCTGAACTCGACGAGTAACGGACGGCCGTTGATTTCCTTGCCGTTCATCTCCGTTAGGGCACTTGCGGCGTCTCTAACGTCGTAGAATTCCACGAATCTTTGTTGCCTCTTCATTGGCGTCTCCCTCACTTCCTTCACGTCCCCTAATCATTAATTAATTAATTATGCTAATTTATTACTCCCTACACTAAATTCCGCAAAGGTAAAGGTGGAAAGAAAATAAATGATGAAAAATAGAGCATAGATGATAAATATTATTACTCCCTACAATAAATAATTTTACATTCACTATATTAATTAAAAAGTAAAATAGATTATTCCTAAAATATAATGAAAAAAGAATCTATTCACTCCCCCCATCCCACCAAGATTTACAACATACTCTGATCCTTTCGTCCCTAAATATTTATCTATTTTAAACTCTTTTCGATCAAAATTGATTAACTTTGATTCCAAATTAAATAAAAATGACACTTCCCCGTCTCTAATTTGATAACAATTTTTGTTTCTCTCCTCTAAATAAATTTTGTTTGTTTACGCAATTTCATTAGGTATTTGATAAAATAAAATATTTTTCTCCACTCTTGTTTTGTAGAACTTTTAACGTAGTTTTTTAATACTCCGTATATAACTTTTATTTGTTATCGATATACCGATTTGTAAATAAAATGATTTCAAAAGTGACATATCTCTCCTCGTATACTCCAATTTGTAAACAAGTTGCGGGCAAAGAAAGTATTAGATATTGAAACAAAAATAATTTTATAGGATTTATAAAATAATGTATTTTCAAAATATTATTTTATCTAAAAGTCAAAAACAGTAAACTTAAAAACACAAAATTGAACAAATATTCTGTGACAAAGGTAGTAAAAAATATCTTAAATAGAACTAACACATAGAAAAAGTACTAAAATAAGAATTCCATATTTTTATTTCAAAAATAAAAGTTCGCATTATGATAATGTAGCACTGTGCATGTGCATTTTATATCATGTTTAAGGATGATTGGTAATATAAATAAATTTTAACTCCTATTTCACAAATAAAAATATAAAACTCCCATTTCAGAAATAAAAATATAAAACTCTTATTTTGGTGCATTTTTAATATTTTACTCTTATTTTAATATTTTTCCCGTTACAACATTCTTTATTATTTCAAAATCATGCAAATTTTTGTATATTTATATATTCCATTGATTATTTGATGAAATAAAATATATTTTTAAAAATTTTATTTTAAAGAACTTTTGATATATTTTTTAAATATATTAGTTTTACTAATTATTTTTCGTCAATTTTTATCTAAAATAAATTTAAAAAATTTGAAATCTTAGTTTGTTTTGCACAAATTATACCTTGAATAAATTCATTACGGAGTATATGTTACTCCCTCCCTCCAAGAGTATGCCTACCATATATTGGAAATTACGGCGTCTAATATTATCTTAACATAAATATAACGTTTAAATAAATCTTATTACCGTATATTGGAAATTACACAACTCCGTAATAAGGAGATTATAATTAAGACGTACCAAATGACCGGAAAATATCTCTGAGGTGGCGCGCGGAAACGTCGGGATCCAAATTGTGCAGTACCAAGGTACCCTGGTTGTTGCCATCCGGGATGCTACACGTGGCCGGAGCAATAAACTGGGCCCACACCGCCTGCCCGGCGATCAGTCCCGGTCCCGGGGCAGAAAGCGGCGGGGGAACGGCAGCAGCAGCGGCGCCGGACTCGAAGTGGCGGCGCAGGCGGTCCTGCTGCTGCATGTGCTGCTGCTGAATCTCCCCCGCCGCCCACTGCGCGTGGCGGAGGTCGTAGAAGTGGACCGTCACGATCCCTTCCCGGACCCGGTCCATCTGGACGGCCCGGACGTCGCCGAACACCTCCAGCTCCCGCCGCACCCGCGTCTCGCTGACGTCGGCCGGGAGCATGCTGACGAGTATGGTCCGGGTCTGGATCGGGCTCCGCGGCGGGAGGCAAGGGGCGTGTAACGGCGGGTCCGGGGCGTACCCGAAGACCTCCGCCGCCGGCGGAGGAAGGGGGAGAGGGGGAGAGGGGAAGTAATTGGGATAATAGAAATTGCATAATTGAACTGAAGGAGGGGAAGGGTAAGGGTACGGATTCACGGGGAAGAATTCTTGGGCTTTGGGATCAAGATTTCCCGGGAAAAGGATGGAGCCGGGGTCGGCCATGGCCGGAAAGCCGGAGAAATGAATACGGTAAGTAGGTTTCCGGCGAAAAACAGCCCTCTCTCTAGTCTGGTGCTAGGCTTGAACGGCAGAGGCCTTTTTTGGAGTGTTTACCATGAAGACCAGAAGCCATAAATAAAAATACACAAAAATGGGAATGTAAAAAATCCAACAGTTGAGTTGACACTTGAATTGCCCCTAGCACATACTGTTCTGAAGCGTTTTATAAGGTGTACAATATATGGAAAATGCTACTCTCACTTCCTCACTTTTGATTTTTTTTGTTAAAATTGGTAAACTTTCAACTTAAATTAAATAAAAATTATACTGATACAAAAATGATTTTATTATTTTATTATATCAAATATTTTTAAAATATTATTTTATCTTATTAACACACAATATATATTTTTGATGGTGTAAATATAGCGGGGTGGGTTAACCGGGTTTGACCTGGACACACTCGACCCGTAATATAAAACACACAACAAGAACACAAAGTATGACCTAGACCGGGTAAATCTCCTCAGCCCGAATTATATTTCTTACTCTATCTCAAGAGTGAACTTTAGTGAGGGAAAAATTGGATCCCCTCCTCTATCCAATATCATCATATTTATAGAGGAGGATTTGTGACCTTCCCCTGTTCATCCATGGACAAAATAGGAAGCTCGTGGGAAGGTCACTGTAGATAATGGAAGCACTGTACAATCATGGACTTGCTACTAATACAACCAAAAAGCACTGTTCAATCAAAGACTAGAATGGATATCCTCAATCCAATCAACCCTGCAAAATGACAAACATCTCTTTCACTGTGTGCCTCGTGATGGATGAGCGGCGGGGTGTCCCCTTGACCTCTGACGTGGTTCACCATGCCTAAGAGACCGGACCAATGTTAGCCAAGTAAAGTGATATGACCGGCCACCTTTTTCTCAAAGGTTGACCGGTCATTTCTTGAGCACAACCCGTCTCTTTGGTCTTCTAGAATGTCCTTTGTAACATTAGGCGACATTTTGGCTAATGCCCAAAATGTGACCGGTCACTTTTTTAGTGGAAGTGACCGGTCAAAAGTTGACCCGTCCCAATCGAAGAGTTAACCTCATTTGGTGATTGATAAAAGTGACCGGTCATATTTTGACCTGTCCCTTTCGGTTGTCCGGGTCGGGTATAGGGATATACCCATCAAGAAGTCCTCCACTTAGCGGCCTTGTGAGGAAGTCATCAAGGGCGGGAAGTATACTTATGTTAACCCATCACCTTTGAATTCAACAAGTCTTCTCTCATGACCTGTCCTTTTGAATCACCAGGTCTCTCTCATGACCTGTCCTTTTGAATCACCAAGTCCCTCACATGACCTGTCCTTTTGAAATCATCAAGTCATTCCCATGACCTGTCTTTCTTTGAAATCATCAAGTCATTCCCATGACCTGTCCTTGTTTGAAATCGTCAAGCCATTCCCATGACCTGACCTTCTTTGAAATCATCAAATCTTTCTCTTTCAAGACCTGTCCATTTCTTGGATTCGCCGTCTTCATACCAGACCTGGCATTTTTGGATTTGTAGACTATGAATCGTTACCTGTCCGTTTGGATTTGTGGGAGTCCATACGTTGAGCCTGGCCTTTTAGTTTTGGAATTTCCCTCCAAAACCTTTCACCTTCCACATTCAAAATTCAAAATTCCCCTTTCACCATTACCTTATCCACGTGTCAACTCCTCAGCCTCCCACCTGTCGCCTCGAACTCCAAACCGCCTCTCTCTCTCCTATAAATACTCCTCCAACCCATCTCATTTCTTCACTTCTCTCCTTCGTTTCTCTTGATTTGCCCGGTCTGCTTTCTCTCTCTAGCTTCTCACCAAGTAAGTGCTCCAGTCCTCCTAGTCTTTTATTTTTCATCTTCCCTTTTTTAACCGGCAACATCATGTCTTCTGATAGCCAAAACATATCCGGTCAATCTTATGGGTCAGGCTCTCAGCCCTCTTCTTCTTCTCACTCTGAGTCTTCTTCTCCTCCTGTCACTCCTTTAATTCGCCGCCCCTCTCACCAATCTAGCTCCCAGGCCCAGGAAATAGTTGCCCAGGAGCCTGTTCCTTTGAACCAACTGCCCGGTCGATTCAATCCCAAGGTCCTCAGCTGGGAGCAATGGGAAGAACGACTGGGATCTTTGGGCTTCCTAGCCC